AAAATGAGAAATAGTGATTAATATCTTCATGCTCCTGTGCTGGTCAGGGCAGACACATTCAGAAAGTTTTGATTCTAAAGGGAACTATTTCACGGTTTCTATGATGGACACTAGACAAGCAATTTGTGATCACTGTTCATGCCAAGGTTCAAGAGTGGACACCATGTCCAAGGACTTCTCTAATACAGGTTTAATACCAAAGACAATAAATTCGATATACAGAATACAGCAAAACTAAAGCAGAAAGGAAAATATACACAAGCACACCAACAGCATCTGTAGCCTCAATTTCTGAAATGACAAAAAAATTCACAAATGACAGCACAAAATATGAAAGTACAACTAAATAAATAATGGAATCCATTGTCTTGGATTACCACACGCTGGCTTTCACAGGCACACACAGTATATACTGTAATGGGTCATTTTTCATTAACTGTCAGTTCAGCTTTATCCAACTGAAATTACTATTTATATGTTTTTAATTACCTTGTAATTCTTCTATGTCTATTATAATCAGTTAAAGGCATAAAGAAAACACACAGATTTCAACAATTTCACACGAGTGTGTCCTGAATTTCAGTTTCAGCCAAGAATTTTCATTTCATATCACCAGCAGTTTAAAATCAAATCGTAATATAGCAGTATTTGTGTTGTTGCGGGTGCAGCAAGGCCAGGACCACCACTGGCTGCACCTAGTGATTTTTATCTACTAGTAGATGAGAGCAAAAACAAACTACAGTGTGCGGTATAAACGATTGAATCTCGTAAATTCATTGCATCTTTTCAAGTGTAGCAATTCTGGAATCTGTGAAAAGATCTGAGTCGAAGAACAAGAACTGTTTCTGACACACTGACTCTTTGCCATGTTTTACCCCTGGGCCATCCAGCGTGTTCAGCCGGGCTCTGCCTCTGAGTGAGTAAGTGCGTAGCTGGGAAAGAAATCGACCCAAGTGCCTTGACAGAAAAAGCACATCGAAACAAAATAACTGGCATCGACTCTTTTCCATAAATGTAGGTCAAAATTCAACTAGGTCAGGAAAGTATCCAGCAGGTCATTGAGAGAACTGCTCATTTCGCATTCCCCCCTTTTCTTCAGTGTTGGTAATTGCTTACTGCGTTTACGCATTGATTCAGTATCACAAGCGGCTGCTGGATGGGAGCGCAAGTTTTGCGCCCACAAGTTGACCTCCGGAAATACTTCTGAGGTACGCTCATAGTTTTGGAAGAACATCACATGGAAAACATGGAAAACAAAGGATGGCTAACCACATCCCAAACTTGTCAGATATCCTCTACATGGATCCTTCAATTAGACTAAACACATCCTTCTGGAAGACCACTTTTTAAAACATACTGCTCTTCAGTTTTAATAATATTTTCAGTCATATATTTGATAGATAATGAGCATTATATGCAGATAATACCCATGAAATTAAAGTGTCCTTGTTGCCAAGAAGTTTTTAGATTTTGAATTATATTTTCTGCACTTTACTCATCATATCCAGGACCGTGTTGTTTACTTGCTGCTTTGCTTTGTTTGAAAGATCAACTGTAATCCATAAAAAATTAAATAAATAGTATGTTAACATTTACAGTTCTACGTAAGGCTCCCTTTGGTGTATTTTAAGAGAAGCAGAGCAGAATTAAATAGTCAAAACAGCTCTGTCAGGTCTGTGAGGCATTCTTTTAGTATTGAGCACCAGCACCCAAGTGTGTGTCCATTAAAGCTGAATAATGACTTCTTAACTTCATTAATGTAAACTTAAAAAGGATCAAATACCGTAATACCATGATGCTGTGATATATCTGGAAAAAAGTCATTACATTGCATGTTATGGCTACGATCCAGCCCTATGACCAAAGACAACACTTGGTGGATCGCTCTTGTTCAGTCTCCGAGTCACACTTTATCCACATTTGTTTAGGCCTGAAGCTACAGGGCACTGGGGGCAAAAGGGAGCATCACCCCCTAATAAGAGAGTCCCACCCTCTCAATTTTGGACATAAGAATTTTGACCATTTTTACTCACTTTCACTATTATACAGTGGTGCTTGAAAGTTTTAAATGTTCTATATTTCTAGATAAATTTGACCTAAAACTTCATAAGATTTTCACAAGTCCTAATAATAGATAAAGAGAACCAAATTAAACACACAAAACAAAAAGATTAGACTTGGTCATTTTTTTCTTGAGGAAAATAATCTAATATTACATATCTGTGAGTAGCAAAAGTATGTGAACCCTAACTAATCCCAACTAAACGTTTCCAGTAGTTTTAGGCCAAATTTATGAAAAAATATCGAAAATTCTAAAGGGTTAACAAACTTTCGAGCACCACTGTAAATAGAATAATCAGTGGGTTTTAGGCCCTCTAAGGTCATGTGTGAGAGCTCCTTCTCAATGGTAAAGAATGTATACACCAACAGAATTTCAGAAGACTCTAGATATAAAGATATTTATTGTGACTGGCTCTGAAGAGTTTAGCTCTAACTCAAATCCCCAACACCTGATCCATCTAACGACTGGTGTCAAAAGTTCTTCATTAGATGGATCAGGTGTGCAGAATATATCAGGAAGGAACGCTGGTTGACCCAAAGAAGGTTGGTCACTAGTTTTGACAAACCAAATGTTTGGTCAATTTGCCTTTGTCCCCCAGTCCTGATATGCCTTGCACATTTCAGTTCTCAGCCTGCTCAAACGCATCCATTTAACCTCGTGAGGGCTTGCTAATTATCTGATTAGTTGAACCAGGTGTGTTGGAGGAGGGAACACACCAGGCTCAGATGCGTTACAATACTGATCATTCTTTTATAGCAACCACGTTCTTACTAACACTTCTGCTCAGTTATCATTGGAAGTCATTCTAAGCTGGGTTATAACTGATCTGCTTACAAGGTAAATATGGTACTTCTGCCGAACTATGCCCAGTCTGGGAGCAGCACACCACCAGCAGAGCAGCACCACCTGGGGTAGGGAGGTAAGGTGACCACAACCAGGTCAGTCCTGGGATTTGAACCCAACGACCTTCCAGTTTCAGGCACAGCTAGCTCACCACCAGGCTACCAGCCTCTATCAAAATTCTCAGTCCCAACTGAATGCCACCAGATTTTACTGAGTCCAGCTGGAACATAATGAACACTATAGGGGTTACTTCATCTATAAGAGTCCATTCAGCTCCGTAGGTATTATTTCAGCACCGCCAGTATTAATTCAGCACTGTAGATTTTGCTGGGTAGTTGGGTATTTTCAGATGAATGGAAATGACACTAAATAACCATGTTAAAGTCTGTGCCTGGCAGGAGATTTGGGCCTTTTGGTAGAACTTTCTGTGGCCAGCTCCCCTGGCACAGGGTGTATGTAGTTGATTATTATTGATCATTTTCAGACAAAATTTCTTCTTTAACTTTTCTTAAACTTTCTAATATATACTAAAACGTATGCTCAGTCATCATTACAAGTTATACTGTACAGCAACATCCTTAATGCTGAACGAACACCTACAGAGTTTAAAAAGGCCATCTGGGCTCTGAGTGTGTTATAGTTCAACAGTGTAGGAGTTCATTGTAAGAGTTATCTAATTCAGTCCTGTAGGTAGAGTTAGCAAATTCAACTATGCTGATTTTATTCAACGCCCTATGTGTTCATTTAAACCTCTGAGAATTAATTTAATGCCCTAGGTGTTAAATAAATATTGAAGAATTTATTCAACAGGTGTTTCCTCAGCACTAGATTTGCTATGTAATTGGGTATTTTCGGATTAATGAAATCTGCACTAATACCTAAACGAGCGTCAGGGCTGTTAGGGTTGAACTCTGTGAGGCTCTCTCACCTGACACATGGTGCCTGTAGATGATCGTGTGCTCGCGCTTAGCTGGTTCAGATGACACGTGAATAAATAAAGGGCGCCCGTTACACGAGACGCAGAGCTACACCCGACACCCAACAAAGCATCAGCACCACACAGCCAACCTAACAGCACTATCGCAACACAGCAATAACCCAACATGACACTATCCCAACACAACACAGCACTATCCCAACACAGCAATAACCCAACATGACACTATCCCAACACAGCACAGCACTATCCCAAAACAGCACTGCACTGTCCCAACACAGCAATAACCCAACGTGATACTAACCCAACACAACACAGCACTATCCCAAAACAGCAATAACCCAACATGACACTATCCCAGCACAGCACTCTTAACACTGCACTGCCCTAACACAGCAATAACCCAAAACAGCAATAACCCAATACAGCTCTATCCTAAAACACCAATAACCCAACTCAACACTATCCCAACACATCAATAACCCAACACAGCACATCACTAACCCAACACAGCTCTATCCCAACACATCACTAACCCAACACAGCAATAACCCAATGTATCATTGTCCCAATAAAGCAATAGCCTAACACAGCAATACCCAACAAAGGAAACTTAAAAACAGAAGAAACAGCAGGCCTATATCACAAAATATGAATAAATCGAAAAAATAATTTCACAGAAAAAAGATTCCCATTATCTATCCTATTCCTATAATCCTTTTACTCTGAGCCGTGCAAAAATCTCCTACACACACAAATACAAAAATAAATAAATAAATAAATAAATAAAATAAAATATATAAAATCATTAAGTGAAAATAAACTAAGAATATGTTTTAAAAAAAATTAATACGTTTCATTTCATATTCACCGAAAACAAACAAAAAAAAACATCCCTGAAGATCCCATCAGTCAGAAAGCGAACTAAAATATCGAGCATTAAACCTATATGCTTCTCTTTTTCCTCTTGTCAATATTAATTACATTTCGCCTGACTCGAGTCTCCGGTCTACACTAACGTTACTAACTCAGCTCAGAAGTCTCAGGTCTGGACTTTAACAACAGTCTTTGTCTCTCAGATTAATGCTGTGAAGTCCCAGCCCCGCCGCCCGGAGGCTGAACTCTCCCCCAGAGAGATAAAAACTCTGGCCGTCTTACCTGCTGCCTCGTCCTGAGCCGGTGAGGCTGGAGAACCGACCACTTTCCCCGCCGCTCTCGCTAAAGCGATGAAGCTGCTGCTGCTGTGCTCCGCTCGCTTCAGCCTCCCTCCCTCCCTCAGCATCTTTTCCCGCCCTCTTCACAACGCGGGTTTTTCCCGCCCGTTTTCCGACAAACCACAGCCTCTCACGGGACGATTGGCTTAATAGTTCACACACAGAGCTAGTCTGCTGAATCGGCCAATCAGAGCGCAGGGTCCGGCACAGTATTAGCCAATCGGAGCGGAGGAGGCGGGACATGTCTGAATACAGGCGCGAAGAAGAACACCGCGCGTGCAGAAGCACTAACCGAACTGAGGTAACATGACCGTTACTGAGGCGACACATGTGAGAAAAGTCGTTTGTTTGGTATAAAAAACACAAAACTCAAGCTTATATTAGCCGTTAGAAACAAGCGAACAGTAAACCCCTCTGTAAAATAAGCTTATTCGTCTATTTTAAACTTCTGCGGTATTTTAGTCTGTATTGGAGTTGAGTTGCTCCGCACTGAGGCGCTTTGTTTACGGCAAACCTAAACCTAGTCTTCTAGTCTTCAGAGGATGAGAGAGCAATGCAGGCTGCTGTATATTAGTCTACATTACACCTACTGCAGAGATAACGAGCAGAAATCCACCGCATTTCGCTTATAAACACCACCCTCGGCCTGTGAATGCTGTTTTGCTACCGAGGTGAGAGATACAGCCTGACAGCCAACAGTGCGAGGTGAGCCTGAGGGCTTTAAGGCTTTATCAGCGGAGTGCGCCAGAGTTTCTATTAGAAACTGCGTATGCTGATCCAATACTGCCATCTACCGGAGACTGAGGGGAGCTTCAAAAGTGACACATCCATACATTTCTGTTAAAAGTGGTGTTTTGGCAAGACAGCAGGCTAAATGTTTTAATGTAAAAAAAAATGACCAGTTACATTTGTTTAGACTGGCAGCCATTCGTCACAGCTATGGAGAGGAAGTACTATATTTTTAGTTTATAAACACTTACAGAAATCTAATATATGGCAATATAGGTGTTTCAAATATATGGTATTATCATATATGGATCTCCCATATATTTAACCTATTTGAAAATGGCCATCTTTAAATATGGGGCATGTACACTCACTGAGCTCTTTATTAGAAACACTTCTACACTCATTGTCCATTTTATCAGCTCCACTTACTATATAGGTGAACTTCGTGGTTCTACAATTACAGGCTGTAGTCCATCTGTTTCTCTGCATACTTTGTTAGCCCCCTTTCACCTTGTTTTTCAGTGGTCAGGACCCCCATGGACCGTCACAGAGCATGTATTATTTGGGTGGTGGATCATTCTCAGCACTGCAGTAACACTGATGTGGTGGTGGTGTGTTAGTGTGTGCTGTGCTGGTACAAGTAGATCAGACACAGCAGTCCTACTGGAGTTTTTAAACACCTCAGTGTCACTGCTGGACTGAGAATAGTCTACCAACCAAAAGAATCCGGTCAACAGTGTCCTGCGGGCAGCATCCTGTGACCACTGATGAAGGACTAGAGAATGACCAATATAAACTGTGCAGCAGCAGATGAGCATCTCTGACTTTACATCTATAAGGTGGATCAACAAGGTGGAAGTGTTTAATAGAGTGGACAGTGAGTGGACACAGTGCTTAAAAACATCAGCAGCACTGCAGTGTCTGATCCATTCACACCAGAGCAACACCGGTTGGCAATGGATATGGCTGAAACACCTGATCTCAATAATTAGGAGGGGAGTCCACATAAGTAATAAAAGAAGTAAAAAACATACTCTAGTTTTAATGTAAGTCAATGGAATCAGACTTTTTTCCAAGTAATTTTGTGCCGTTTCTTTTGGTCCATTCATTATGAAATTTACACACAATGTAAAGGCCATCAAGCATTTTCAAAAAAAAATTTATGCACCTTTGTTTTTTACACATAGGCCTGCTCCCTAATGAAGTAAACATTTGTACATAACAAAACTCTAAAGATATGCACATTATAAGCTATGCAGTAATGGCATTAAAACATGAAATTAATAAACAATATTGTTTACTGATACTTTAAAAACTATAATGAAAAGCAAACATAGTAACAGTTAAAACTGCTGGTATGTATTCAACCATGTATCAGACATTTACCTATGATCCATATGTTATGCACACGTTTAATATTTGATACATATATGCACACAACATACCAGATTTCTGTACAAGCATACGTTTTGCAACTTGTAAGTAATGTTACGTGTAAGCACATATTTTGGGTTTTTTGTGTTTGTGTGCGTGTCTCCGGGTCTCTCTCTTGACAGGTGTACCTGCTTTGCCATCAGTCATGTGATGAGGACCTCTGACCAGTCACAGGCCTCACTGGTTAAGTTTGGGGGGAGGAGCCTAAGCCTTATAAGAGGCCTTCACGATGGCTGAAGTGTGAGGGGACTGATCACATGTATGCTGTGGTTTTATGTGCTTGTTTTATGTATTTTACTGGTATGTCTTTTAACCTACTTTACCAGAGTTTGTTTCTTGTGTTGGGGTAGTACTTTGGTTTTGGTATTTTATCTGCACACTTAACTTTTGTTTACAAGAGACTGATTATTTATGCCACCTGGGGTTTCAAACAGGTAAGAGATGCATACCTATACATTTTGACCATATAGAAGTCTACTCTGTCTAGTTCCCTAGGTCAGAGGTTGGGCACTGCCATATGTACTCTTGATTTTTTTGGTCAGAAAACTAGAGTAGTTAGCTTTTATTTTGTGGGTTGGCTAAGTACTTTTTTTCAGTGTAGTTTTATTCTCTTTGGTGCTGTTCAGTTTCATTCATCCAGTGGGATACTAGATATTGTAGTGCTTTTTTTATTTATTTTTTTTTTAATAAAATGGCTTTAAAAGCTCTGTTCTCAGGCTTTTAACCTGTCATTGCCAGTTCAAGGTTTAATGTAGGGGTGTCTGATCTTATCTGCAAAGAGCTGGTGTGGCTGCAGGTTTTCATTTCAAACAAGCTGAAGCACACCTGATTCTATTTGTTTAATCAGTTGTTCTTAGTCTTCAAACATTTTGGGTGACCTCCTGCTTTGTTGGAGTGAAAACCTCCAGCCACACTGGCTCTCTGTGGATAAGATTGGACACCCCTCGTTTACTGCCACATGTTACTGATTACACAGTGCCCTAGACAAAATGTGGGGTTGTAACAGTAGTAATCCTTTGTTTTTGGTACCACTGTTAAAATGTGTCCAGACACCCCTTTCTTATGAGTAAGTTTGTCTACAGCTTCTGATTTAGTCCACTACTGGGTCTAAGATCATTGTATGTGACTTATGTTAACCTTCCAGTCAGTGTTTGGGACTCAGACACTACTTTTTTTAATTCAGACTAAAAACCTACTTGTCAGCCCTCTGGTAATTAGTTTTGTTAGATGAAAGGTGCAGATCTGGGGGTTCATGGACATTGAGTATTATGGTAAACTGTTGGTGTGGTCATCCTGCTGCTCTCATAGGTTCACTCAAGTTTGATGGTGGAGGAGGGGGGTGCTGACATCTCAGGGTGCCCTCATGTCTGTTACCTTCCTGCTCTTAGGTCTGTTACCTCCCTCTTAGGTTGTAATAGCCCAACCTAAAGGAGTTTCTGCTGCACTCTTAACTCTGTATACTGTAATCAGTCTGTATTAACAGAACTGACTTTCTATGAGTTGAACTGCCTATCCTGTGTGGCCTGATGGTCAGAGTGAGCAGTGTCCAATCTCCACCTACAGAACTAGCAGTTAGCTGACTGCTAACCTCATGTCTCATGCTTTTCCCCCCTCTCTTTCTCTCTCACACAGGTGTTCAGCTCACTCACTATGGTGTCCGCCTAAGATTGCACTCCACAGAGCTGGTGCGGCTGGACTGGCAGATCACTGCGTTCCTGGGGGGGAAAAACAGGACGAGCTCTTTCGTTAGAAGTCGCAGCTCAAAGCTGCCTGGGAAGTCCCCCCCCCCCTTAGCGGTTGCACCAGCCTTGTCTCTACGTACACCGGGAGACAACATTCTCATGCCAGCCCCGCAGCCACACCACCACCACAGCCAACTTTCATCTCCTGCAACTGTTTCACCATCCTCAGCTCACCACCTACGTCTGCGTCTTGGACCTCGTCGCCCGGCCCAGCGCTTTGGACCTCTACACGGAACTCGGTTTATGTTGTTGGTAGTTCTGTTGTCCACCATGTTAAAGTAAATGGTGTAATGGTGTCTTGTTTTCCAGGTGCTCTAGGTGTAGCCCCCCCCGACCATCGGCTCTCAACAGGTGCAACGCCTTCGGGACTGTGGTTATTCATGTCAGGACCAACAACATCTCTGCCTGGCGTAATGAGGTCCTGAAGGAGCACCGACGGACGCTGCTGGACACCACTAGGAAGGTGACGGACGCCAGGATCATCTCTGGAGCCCTTTCCACAGAAGGGGGTCTGAGTGGTTCAGCAGGCTTTTCACGCAGCAGTCCTGGCTCTGCGGCTGGTGCGCCGTTAACGGCCTAGGCGGCGTGGACAACCGGTCTTCAGTCTGGAAGCTGCCAGTGCTTTACGGGTGTGATGGTCTTCACACTAGTCATCTTGGATTAGCTGTCCTCGTGTAGCGTGCTTTGCTGTTTTAATTTCATAAACGGATCAGAACTTTTTGAGCAAAGTGAGATCTGCATCTGCATGTGGCAGGATGTTTAGAAGGACCAATAGTAAATTTATGGCTGACTGCTAAAGACACATCTCACAGCCCCCATTGGCTGCCCCCCCGCCCTGGCAACCTGGTGCAGAAGTGGGGAGGGGGGTGGCTCACCTCGGAACAGACCTACTTTGACCCAGAGGTCTGAAAACTTTCTTTTTCTTTTGACTAACAGTTTAAGGGCAACATAATGGAACGTCATGCCACCCCTTTATAAACATCCTGAAGAGACCTTTGGACATCACTGAAGTAAATTTTGGATACTGATAAATTGTGACTTTTGAAAATTCCTTTCCCTCTCTCACACCCATACATCTCGCCTTCCCCCACAAAGAGAG